GCCTTTTTTTTTTTTTTTTTTTAAACAGTGCTTGGCTGTCTACCCTGATTAGATTCATCTTTGCTTGCCAAAACTCCTCCTCACTTATGCCAGGCTGAGCTTTTCCTCCACAGCCCAGACTGAATGGCTCTGGCTGCCCTTGTTTGTGGTTGTTTAAAAACAAAACTCGTTAACATATTGTCAAATCATCCTTCTCTGAACACTGCAGAGATTTCGCTCTAGCTGCCAATGGTAAAGCAGCATGCAGTCTTCAAGTCATGGCTCTGGGCCAACTCTGGAACAGGAGTGGGGCAGTACAGGGTAGAGTGGGGGGCCCAGAGGTTTAGAAGTGACAGCCGCTGTGCCTCCCCATGGCCTGCCCCCACAGGAGGCATCACAGACTGGAGGCACATAGTCTTGGATCAAAGTGGCCCTCTCCTACTCTGTAGTCCCAAGCATTCCCCCTGTTAGTTGTTCATCCCCAACAATATCAGGTGCTTGCTCCCGCTGGATCAGGAATGTTTCTATTTCTTCTGCCTTCTTGGTCATCACTCTCCCTTCTCACTAGCACCTCCCAGAACCCTCTCTGGGGCTGTTCCATTTCTTCCAATAAGAGATCTGAGAGATCAGAGTTGGGTGCTTGGGAGCCAGATGGGGGCATCCCTGGAAGGTCTCACTGCTTCTCTTGGGCTCAACAAACCTCCCTGTCCTCCACAGTCCAGTTCCATCTGTTTCCTTCAGGAAGCCTTCCTGATTGCGCCAGTTCCCCTTGACCTCCCATCACCCTGAGTCATCTCCATTTTTGCTCAACTTTCTTGAGCTGATCTTTGATTCTCTCAAATTTGCTGAGTCTGGTTTCCCCAACTAGATGGAGAACCCCTGATGCCAGAGCCAGGGTCTCCTCCTCTTGTTGCTCCCCCATGGCTCACAGAAGTAGATACAAGGAGAGCTTGGAAAAGACTATTGAACAAATGGAAGGTCAAGACAGAGGACTCTGGAATCTGACTGTCTGGGTTCAAATGCCACATCTGCTACTTTGGGTGGTAGGGCCTTGGGCAAGTTACTTAATGTTTCCACAAAAGGTTGTTGTGGGATGAAATGTAATCATGTGTGAACTATGCAGCTTGGTCTCTAGCTCTGGAAAACCTGGAGTAAGTGGAGCCACCACTGTAGTCTCAGCCAGGATCATGGATTGCATTGGGTCAGCCTGATGGAGCGCCTAAAGCTGTGCACAGTGGGGAGTCACCAGAGCTCTGGTGTGGGAGGCTGGTGACCTGTGACCTATAGCAGCTATGCACTGTGATCTGGGGCAAATAACTGCCCTCTTGTGAAACAAGAGGGCCTGGAAAGATGACCCCTTGTGAGCCCTACCTGCTCTGACCTCTATCTGAGCTATGGACATTGAGTTTGTGAGTTAATTCCTGAGCTGGGGCCCTGGGAGAGCGCATTTTCAGCACAGGTTATGTCCCAGTTTCTGACCTGGCTTTCAGGTGGAGACCTCCTTTCCCCGCCCTCCCTTCCCTGCCCACCCCAGCATCCCCGGGAGGGTACCAGAGCTCCACTGCTGAGCAGGATCATGAAGATGATGAACGTCTCGAACCAGCTGTGCTCCACAATGCGGTAGCAGGTCTTGCGCAGCCGCCACCAGACCTTCCCTGGGGCCTGTGTGGTGTCCACAGTGCAGCAGGGACAGCGCCGGACACAGCCTGTGGGGAAGGGAGAGGGGTCAGGCCCAGCCCAGGGCCTTCAAATGCCCATGTATGATGGCAGAAGGAATGACCGAGAGAGGTTACAGTGATGGGTGACGAGTGGGCAACATGGTGGGCGGGGCCGTGGGGGACCAGGAGGACTGTGGGTGCTGTCCCCAGGCACCCAACTCAGCAGGTACTCTGTGGAAATGCCAGATGGACCAGGCACCCCGGGAGTGGGGGAAGGGCCTGGCAGGGGTGAGCAGGGGAAGACTGGGGTTGGATGGGCTCCACCTTGTCCTCTGCTCATCTGGGAAACCCTCCTCCTGCTGGAATGTTCCAGAATTCCCTGGGCCTTCTCTATGTTTGCAGTTTCTGAGCCCTGGGAAGGGTGGACCCTTCATTGGCAGCCTCAAATGATGTGCCACGTGGAGGGCAATCCCTCATTTTATCCTCAGCTGCCCCCCAAATACACCACCAATTCACCATAAAAACTACACATGCCAGGCCCCATGCCACGGCCTGAGGGGACACGTGAATCAGACCCCGTTTTTGCTGCCGTGGGGGCACAGTCATGCTATCACTCCACAAACGCAGTGTCTCCAGTCCCTGGCACAGATGCCCCACAGCTGCTGAGCCCAGTAGACCGCTGGCAGACTCGCCATGCCTCAGGTCATGATGAACAGGGGAGGGAGGGGAGGCACTGGGCAGGGTGGGGTGTAATGTGGCCCCATGCCCCAAGGAGCTGCTGGTCCTCCTGCCCCTCCAGGCAAGGCTGAAGCTGGGATAAAGGGACACCCAGGTGAGGACCTTCGGTGAAGCAGTCCTCTGGGTCCTTGACGTCCTCGCCGAGGTCGGGGATCTGCTCCAGGAGGTCAGCCGTGTTGGTCATGTCTGCTGTGCTCCCCTCGGAGTAACTGTCCTCATGGGTCTGTGGGCAAGAGCGTGGGGCCCGGTGGGCAAGGACATGAGTGTGGGCTATGTAGCAGCCTCCAGCCCAGAGTTTGGGGGAGCCTGGGGCTCCCAGACGGGAGGTGCCCAGACTATCTTCTATTGCACTCCTGGGGAACCTGAGCCCAGGATGAGTGGGAACCTGCCCCAGAGGGTCTGTGGTCTGCTGGGGTCTAGGGCAGAGGTGTGGGGATGTGAAGGCATCTGGAAAAATACTGGGGATAAGACATTCATTCCACTGGAAACGAAACAGGCATAGGGTGGTAACACAGGCACACACTGGGACATGGACAGAGTGGTAGCTTGGCACACGCAGGGGAAGCAGACATGCCACACCAGGATAGAGTCAGAACCAGCATCATGGGCACACATAGGTGCAAGGTCAGACATGCAGGGAACAGGCCAGCAACCCACCCATGCTTCTCGCCCAGTTCATGTGGGTGCTGGTGTGAGGTGCAGAGCCTAGAGTAAGAGCCAGAAGGTGCTGGAACATTCCCTGCCTGGCCGCCTAACCTCGCTTAACCTGATTATAGAGAGGTGTGTGCACATGGTGTATTCTCTGAATGTGTGTGTTGCATGTGAGCACTGGTGTATTGGGGGCTGTAGCGGCCACTGCGGGTGCTCTGCCCAGATCCCCTCTATTAGGCCAGTGCACCCATCCCAGCCGCTGTGAACACTGGCTGCATCTCCAGAAAACTGTCTTTAGGTAGGGTGCTGACATTTCTAGAAATTGCTTGGGGTTATGACGAAAGCCAGGGTGGCTGACACCCAGCGACTGATACGGAGGGAGCCAAGCTGAGGCTAGAATCCAGTGACAATGCCTTTGGGAGCTGTTACCTCTGCCTCACCCTGCTTCTTTCTTCCCTGTGGGTCTCTCCGGAGAGCACTCCCTCAGTAAGTCCTTTGCACAGGAAGCCCGTGGCAGGCTCTGCCTCTAAGAGGCCACTCTAAGGACAAGCGTGGCAGGACAGGCCTGGGAAGGCAGGGGAGCCTTAACTGGAGTCAGATCATGTCTAAATCCCCGGGCCCCCAGCGCAGGTGGCCGCCTTGTGGCTCAGGCTCAGGCTCCGCTCAGAGCCATGCTGGTGTCTGAGATCCTGGTGCCTCTTCTCCCCAACTTGTTCCTTTCTCTTCCTTCCATGACTAACTCCGCTGGGGTTTCGAAGTCCTCTCTAACAGATGTCTAGCTTTAATGTTTAGGCTTCCCATGGGGAAGTACTGAGTCCCTGTGGGAATGGAGAGGGTGTTGCTGGGTGCAGGGTGGAGCCATGGCCCCAGGGTGAGGCTCTGCCTTTGTGGTCCCCGTGGCCTGGAGGGTCATCTCTTTTCCTCCCAGCCTTGTTGTGCGGCAGGGAGCTGGGAAAGGCACAGCCGGAGGTCTTCGCTCTCTTTTCTTTCAGACACGGGAGCTGCCCAAAGGATGCGGGCTTGTCACGAGGACATGTTCTCAAGACCCACTGCAGTGAGATGACAGGGCCCTTCTCCCGGAGGACCCCTGCCTACCTCACTCTCCCTTTCACCGGGTCCAACATGGACTGATGTGAAGAGAGGAAGGAGTCCAAAAATCATTCAAAGGTCAACATTCCAGTAGGAAGGCCCTTCTCTACGACTTTCTGCCCCTCCCGTGTCTTCCTGTTCCCACATGCCTTCATGTGTCAGATCCCCCATAGGAGATGGGACCTGTGGTCAGGATGATGGCTCCACCAGGCCCTCACGCTCCGAAACTGGCCATGATCACAAAGCTTCCCACAGGCCCATCCCACAGGCCCATCCCATGGAACAGACAAGGTAAAGGAGAAATGTTCCTTTGGAGCAAGTCTCAGCTCCTGGTTAGGCAAGACAATGGCCCCAAGCACCGTCTCTGAATGCGACGTTTGCCTTCCACGGTGTTTGGCGTGAGTGGGAGTGGGGGTGGGGATGTAGTTGGCAGGGCCACATTCTGTTAGCTCGGGGATGGCAAACACAGATGCTTATAGGGGCCAGGCAGGTAATGAAATGGGGGCAGGCAGGTGGGCTCTGAAGTGAACCAGAGCTCCCGCCAGGACACAGTGACCACTTGTCTCCAGCAGGGCAGTTCTTCCAATTTTTTTTCAAGAGAAGCCAGAAATGCAAATTTTTTACATAAAAGCTCTCCAGTTTTAAATGTTGATGGCCAATTCAAATTTAAACCCTTTTTGTGGTCAGAGCAAAACCCTACAGTGGGCCTCTCATTTGTGGCCTCTGCTTTAGTCCCGGTGAGAAGCAGCTGGTGGCCAATGTATCAAGAAGCCAAGAGCTGTTTTCCAAGCTCCAGAAGTCCCGAGATGGGGCCCTTCACAGGACAAACATGTGCCAAATGGGACCAAAGCACAGGGGCTGAGTGAGGATGGGCGAACATGTGGAGGTTTGGGGTTAGTCCTGCACCACAGTCCTGGGATGGCAGCTTCTAGGATTTCCCTATGGCTTTGGGCCCCACGCCATCCCACCTCTCCCATCAGAACAGGGCTGCCCGTGGTCCCTTCTGCAGACAGGTCTCCTACGTTGCCTGTGACAGCTGCTGTGGAACCGTCCCATCAGCCAGCGCAGGCACGTGCTGGGACCTCTCAGCCTAGCTCCAGCCCAAGAGGCAGTGCCCCACCGGCTTCAGGGACAAAGGTGTGCGTTACCTCACTGCACCCTGGGGCCTGGGGCTCCACTTGCCGCTGCTGTTGCCAGTCTGCCTGAGCCACACTAGCCTCGGCCTCGGAGGAGGCGGTCTCTGACACCTGGCTCCAGGCGCTGGGCTCCGGGAGGGCCTCTGGGCCGCCGGACACAGGTTGGGGTTCCTGCTGAAGAGACCTCCAGTCCATGAGCTCCAGGCCCCACCCATGCCTCCTGCCCTCCTCGTGGGGACTCATCTCACTGAAGAGCCTCCCTCAGAAGCCCTGAGTGGGGGGCTGGGGGGCTCCTGGTAGGTCCAGGTAAAGGGCCGACAGCCAGACAAAGCCCCTGGCCTGCCTGGCATCAGTGTGCCCCTCTTCCCATTTCCTGGAAGGGTGCAGCTAGGCTGCCATGCCAGCTCCCACATGTGGCAACCCCACTTTGGAAGGACATGATTTTTCCTGCAAGTTCCTATGGCACTTCCAGCTTGCTTGCGCACACACACACACACACACACACACACACACACAGGCCCCAGGGAGCCAAAGCCCACGGGCTCAAGAGAAGCAATGGAGAGGGGCAAGGAGGGGCAGTCAGGCGAATTCCTCTCCTGTGCTGAGCACATCCTGGAGATAACTGGAAGCTGTGGTCCTGGCAACACCAATACCCCCTCCCCCTGACACTGTCACTGTCCCACCGCCTGACTGAAAGGGCTGAAGCTGGCCTCTGGGACCACAGAGAGGCAGGAGGCTGAGGAACCAAGTCTGAAGCCTCAGATCAAATTCCACGCAGGGGGAGCAGATGCTCTTCCCGGCCAGACCCACCCGGCACAGGCCCAGAGGAAGCGCCCAAGATGGGCCACTAAACAGAGAGAGCCCGTCCTCATGGTTGGACCTGAACACCCAAGAAAAAGCCATTTGAGCCTGGCTTGGGCCACGATGAAACTGATGGAGCAGTAGGGGGGCAGTGTCCAGACTCTGGTCCTAAGTGTTAAAAATAACAGGTTGGGAGATAAGATAGTGCCGTCTCTGACACCTGCCATCTTCGGGATGCTTATTTTTAAATCTCAGAATTAGCCCTGGGCCTGGGAGGAGGGGAAGGGGCAGTGGGAGGTCAGAGGCTGCACTGTTACTTTGACAAGACACTCGCCTACCCAGTCCTGGAGGGGGACAATGGTCAGAGTGGGGTCGGGGGCCATGGGTCCCGGCTCTGTCCCAGAAGCATGAGGAATTCCCAGCAACTCTCTCTCTCTTGCTGTACCTCAGTTTCCCTTCCTGTAAAATAGCTGCCCATGACCAGCCAGGGGATAAATTGTGGACAGCGGCCCCTTCCAAGATCCCCTGCTGGGCTGGGTTGGGGAGAGGGTTGAGAGCTAGTCTCAGGGGCCCTCTACAGGGCAAGCTGTTGGGGGACCCTGTCTTCTGCCTCCGCCCAGCCCTGCTGTGGCAGTCTGGCAGGGGCAGTTGCTCTGAGAGAGGCAGGGCACCCCAGGCAGCAGAGCCCTGGGCCCTAACAAGTAGGTGCTGCATGTGAGTGGGGGAGAGGCAGCCGGTGGGGCCCACCTGCTTGCTGGACTCTTCCTCTGTGCTCAGGCTGTTCTCCTCGCCCTCCTGGTCATCGGTGTCTGACTCAGCCACGGCAATGGGCACGCACACGGGCTCCGGGTCCCCAGCGGAGCCCTGGCCTGGCCGCTGGCCTTCCTCGAACCGCGTCTCCTTGCGGGCCGGGGGGGCCTTCTCCGTCTCCGTGGGAGGTGGGGGGCTGGAGGCGGCGACGCAGCCGGGCAGCGGGCCCCCGGGGGCCAGGGCGGCGGGCTTCTGAGGCCGCTGCAGGAGCCCGCAGCAGAAGTCCCAGGTGGTCCGCTTGAGGAAGCGCAGGCCCCGCTGGATCCGGGCCAGGGCCAGCTGCAGGTTGTTCATCTCGCCGTCTTCGTCGGGGGCCGTGAGGTTGTCCGCGCTGAAGGAGCTGAGCAGCAAGGCCAGGAAGAGGTTCAGGACCTGCGGAGACCATGCATCGGGCTCACCAAGGCAGGCACCGGGCACGGGGGCTCAGCCTCCGGCCCAGGACGGNGCCAGGAAGAGGTTCAGGACCTGCGGAGACCATGCATCGGGCTCACCAAGGCAGGCACCGGGCACGGGGGCTCAGCCTCTGGCCCAGGACGGGGAAACCGAGGCCCTGGGACCTCAAGGATTGCCAAAGGCAACAGCTCTCGGTTGAAACCTGGCCCCTGCCCCTGATCCTAACCCCTACTCTCGTGAATGTAGAGTTTGGCTATGAGAGGAAACACAAATTCTAACCCTTTCTCCCAAGGTCTTGGATACAGTGGGAGTTGAGGTTGTACAACCTGGGTCTCTTGTGTCTTGGCCCAGGTTCAGTGGGAGAAGCATGGGTCCATGCAGTGTCAAAGCCCACAGACGGGGCCTTGCTGCCTTGGGAGTGATGGGGGCAGTGGGGTCAGGGTGAGCACAGGGCTGCTCCTGGGAACCGGGGTCCAATGTGGGGTCGCTGGGAACAAGACAGGATCCCACCGAGCGACTGGGGCTTTCCCGGGAAGGGGCCTCTGTGTCCACTGGTAAAAGAGGGATAGTGACGTGCCTCTGACTTTCCCACTGAAGCCGGCTTCCCACTTAAAAACCTGGGGCTCCTGCTGTGGGGCACCCTCCACCTGTGTCCCCAGGTCTGAGTACGCTTTCCAGGTGAGGCACAGGGGGCACTGAGCAGAGAAGGGAACAATGGCAGGACAAGTATGGACAGTATGGAAAGGTTAAGAAGGAGGGCCTCGGGCCCTGGCCCGTGTGGCTCAGTTGGTTAGGTGTCCTGGGCACATGCCTGGGATGCGGGCTCGATCCCAGGTTGGGGGCATGCAGGAGGCAGCCAATTGATGTTACGCTCTCATGTTGATGTTTCTCTCTCTCTCCCCTTCTCTGTCTCTAAAAATCAATAAAAATAAAAAAATTAAAAAAATAATAAAAGAAGCAGGACTTCCGGATTCTATCTCAATGGAGAAATGTTTATTTTTGACACCTGGCAGCCTTTTCTGTGTCATCACTGGGGGCGGGGCATGTGATGTGATTCAGAGCCACTGTCTAACGCAGACCTCTGGCTGGCCTCCTCTGTTCCTGGTTGCCCACCCTGGATCCTCCCCTGACCTCCAGGTGTCTGGTGCCCAGGCTGGGGGCAGGGCAGGGAGCACCTGGATAGCCTTGTCCACCCACACAGGACATGAGGGCCTCCCTTGTCGCCAGCTTCAGGAGTTTGTCTTCTTCCAGTGCTTTCCCTGTCAATCATGCTGCTGCTCCCCAGCCCTTGCCTGATCATCACTTCCCATTTTAATGGCAATTGCTTCCTCCCACGCCCGGCAGCAGCCCAATTCCTGAGGCAGCCAGGGCAGGGGAGGGGAGCTGCGTGGGCCCAGAACTTCCCTCCCCCAGCAGTCTCTAATCTTCTCATCCGCAGACAGATCCGCTTGGAAATCGCAGGGCTGTGTGTTTGAGGGCAGCTCAGCCTGGCCCTGGGCTAAGAGCTCGGTGTACTTGCGCCCTCCTTGGAACACAAAGAGCCTGGTGGCTCTGGGGCTGGGCCAGGGGCTAAGCGAGGCTCCACCCCTTGGGCAGCCAGTTTAAGGAGATGGGAGGGGGGTTGTGCGGCCAAAGAGCTGGGTTCCAGGAACACCGAGGCTCTGCTCCCTCTCTGGGCAGCTCCACTTGTGAGGTCTGAGGGAGGCTGAAGCTCACCCCACTTTGCCTGGCCTGCCCTGGCCTGGAGAAGGCATGCGGGAGGAGAAAACAGGCCAGTTTGGGGAAGGGCGCTAGAATCTGCAGCCAGAGTACTCGCGCCAACTGAAACCCTTCTACGAGCTGATGTGAGCCTGGGCTGCCGGTGCCCTCGGGAGCCAGACCATGCAGGTATGATGTCTGAGCATGTGTGGGCCACCTGTATACCCAGAAGGTGGCTCCACGTCCACAGAAGACACTGACTTCTTCCTGAACCACTAACTTGCCTCAGCCTCGCCTCTTGCAAAGATACCTTCTTCGTCATTTAGATTTTGGTCTCTCTCAACTCCAGGATTCCCCACAGTGTAAAGGCACAAGGCAAGATGCATTTGCCCTTGACAGATAGGTGGTCACAGAAGCAAAGGTCTGGATCCTTCATAACAGGACAGCAGGAACGCCCACCACAGCTGCCCAGGGAGACATACAAGGCCCCCACAGGCCCTGCCTCACCTGGACCACCATCTGCTTGCACCTGTGCTTTGTTCACCCTACTCCTTCCCTCTCTAGCATCACCTGTCTACCAGGTCAGCTCTAAACACTCCTCCAGGAAGCCTTCCTTGATTTCCATCTGGAGGGGATCAACGCCCATGAGCTGATCATTCTGACCAGTTTGAGAGTTATTTCATGCCTTTTTGAATTCCCCACTCTCTCAAGCTGATGAGTAATGTCAGGGCCACATTCACCTCTGTATGTCCAACAGCATCTGGCACAATATTTTGCATGCAACAGGGGCTCAGCAGATGTTTGTTAAGATGAATTGAAAAACCATGTGATAAATCATTGCCGGTGAATGACTAATAGAATAATGGGTAGGTGAATAAATAAATTAATGACTATAAAATGAGTAAATAATGAATAAACAGGGAAATAAGTGGGTGAATTAATGAATGAATGAACAAATGAAGAGTGATATGAATGGATGGGTCAATAAGTGAGTAGATAAGCAGATGGATAAATGAGTAGATAGATGGAACCGGTGAATGAATGAATGGATGAGTGGGTTGGCAGATGGATGTGGACTGGATGAATGAGTGGAGAAATAGATGAATGGGTAGAAAGATGGCTGAGTGGCTGAATGGATGGGTGGGCAAGTGAATGGAAGAGTGGATAAATGAATGGATAACTAGGTACGTGTGTGTATATTTGTGTATGAATAAGGGGGGGTGATGGATCGGGTAGTTGGTGGACAGATAATGAATAGGTGATGAATAAATGGATGGTAAGTGAATGAGTAGATGTGGGTTGATGGCTGGCTGGGTGAGCAAGTGAATAAATGGATATAAAGTTTTGTAACTGAGTAGATAGATTGATGGAGAGATGGACAGATGGATAGGTGAGTTAGTGGATGGGTGATTTATGAGTGTCTGCTGGCTGGATGGGTAGATGCATGGATGAGTAGAGAGATATAAGAATAAATGGTAAGTGAATGAATAAATTGATGAAAAGTGTTATGTGAGTACGTTGGTGGGTAGATGAATGATTGGATGAGTAGACAGATGGAAGGATGGGTAAATGAGTAGATGGATGGATGGGTGGGTAAATAGACGGAGAGATGAGAGATCAATGGGTGGATGGGTGGTTTGGTAGACAGACGGATGAATGAATGAGTGGATGGATGATGGAAGGAAGGGTAAGTGAGTAGACAGATTGATGACTGGGGGGATGGGTAGCTGGTGGATGAATGGACGAGGAAGGGAATGTGTGTGTGTAAGGCCATTGGCCAACTTACCACAAGATTGCCAATGACCATGACAAGCAAGAAGACAAGCAGGCACAGCGACTGCCCGGACACCTCCATGCAGTCCCACATGGTCTCGATCCACTCGCCGCAGAGGATGCGGAAGATGATGAGGAAGGCGTGGAAGAAGTCCATCATGTGCCAGCGCGGCAGCAGGCCCGAGTCGCTGATGCGGTGCCTCTGCTCTGAGTAGTTCTTGCCGAAGAGCTGCATGCCCACCACGGCGAAGATGAACACGATGATGGCCAGCACCAGCGTCAGATTGCCCAGCGCGCCCACAGAGTTCCCGATGATCTTGATGAGAGTGTTCAGCGTGGGCCATGATTTGGCCAGCTTGAAGACCCGCAGCTGGGGAGGGAGGGGTCCTTGTGATAGGCTCTGGCTCCCACCGCCCATGGACACCCTTACCTCCCTCCCCCAGGTCCTGCCTGAAACCCCAGGGAACCCTTGAAAGTCACTGACATCTATTCCCCTGGTTTCTCCAAAAGCACACACTCCTGTTTCTTTCCACAGCCTGACGGTGGCTTCGGCAGGCTCTGCTCTGGGAGTCACGTCAACAGCTCCAGCCTCATCTCCCCCACTCAGCCCTTCTCTTTGTCCTCAGCTCCTTCCAGGAGCTTCCTAGATTCCCCCAACATGGAATGTCCTTCCTTTGCTGACCCTTCATCAGATACCCCTCCAGGCCACCTCAGACCATCTCTGACTTGCCCATCTGTGCAATGGGTATACAGTAATACCAGCCCACTCCTGGGATCCTGTGAGGACTAAAGGGGCCATGGGGAATCATAAAGGGCTCTGCCAGTCATCAGGATGGCCACCCCAATTGCTCATCTGGAGGGATATCTCCTTCTGTCCTGCCCACCTCTGTGTCCCCCCCCCCATCACCAGCACCGGGCTTGGCACCCAGGGGTACCCAGCCAATAGCTGTTGGGTGAAGGCATGATGACTCAGAGTTGAGGTGACTGAGTGGTGACCTCAAAGGGGAGTTGTGCCTCAGTGGCCCTGGCCCCCACCCTGCCTCCCTGCAGAGGGCCCAGCCAGGTACCAGGCGAAAGGAGCGCAGCACTGACAGGTTGCCCATGCGGGACAGGCCCAGCTCCATGAGGCTGAGGATGACGATGATGCTGTCAAAGATGTTCCAGCCCTGCTGGAAGTAGTAGTAGGGGTCGAGAGCGATGATCTTGAAGGTCATCTCTGCTGTGAAGATCCCTGTGAAGACCTAGGGGAGGGAGCGGGAAGCAAGGGTTCCCCATGTTTGGGCTGGTAAGACCCTCTGGCCATCGGGGGAGCCCTGCCTCCTGAGGCTTGCTCCAGCAGGGTCTCCCTTCTGGGCTGCCAGCTCTGACTGCAGCCAGGCTCCCAGTGGGGGCTTGCCTGGCCATGGCCTAGCCCCTTAGGGGTACCTTTGGCCTAACACCCCTAGCCCTCTCTGTTGCTCACCAACCATGACCTGCCAGCCTGTCCCTCAGAAACAGCCAGGCCCATAGAAGGCTCTGCAGAGACTCAGTTTAGGAAGTGCCTGAGGGCAGGGGACACAACCCCAGGCTCCTTCTAGTCTGTGTGCCACAGGACGTGCCCTTGCTCCCCATGTGCCAAATACATGCATTCCTATAAATACTTATGGCTCAAGACCTTTGTCCACGCTGTGCCCGCTTCCTCCCTGTCCACTCGCTGAACTCTCCTCCCTGGAATAACAACCAGCCACTGTTTCTTGAGGGCCTGTGTCCTAAGAACCGGGCTGGAAGGCTTTGTATGTTGTTACTTTTAATCTGCCCAATAACCTGACATCTTTGTTGATTCCAATTTTCCCTACACCTAACAACACTGCAAAGGACCTTCTTGTACGTGTCTCCTTCTACAGACATGTGAGAATTTCTAAAGAATATGGATCTATCTGAAATTGTTAAGTTAGAGAGTATGCACACCTGTGATTTGCCTGACTGTGTACAACTGCTCCCTGTGATGGCTGTACCAAATCCACAGGCTTACAAAGTGTGAGTTCTCACTGTTTCACATCCTTGTCAACACATAGAAGTTTATTTTTGATTCTCTTAGGGGTGAGAAATAGTATCTCAGTGTTGTTCTAATTTGCATTCCTCTGTGTTTCATTTGTTTACAACCATCTGAGTTTCCCCTTTGCGATCCGCCTGTCATTTCTTCTGTCCACTGTGCTGGTCTTTTTGCCGTTGGGTTGCCCCTCTTTTCTTTACTGATGTGTAAGCGTTCAATATTGATTCTAGATTTCATGTCTTTCTAGTTAAATACTTTTCACAGTATCAATTTCTTGTTTACGGTAGTGATTTTGCTTTGTTTTATTGTATCCTTTATTTTAGGGTATTTTAAATTTTAATATAAGTAAATTTATCAATCTTTTCTTTCATGGCATAACTCTTTGTGTTGTTGAAGAAAGCCTTCCCAACCCCAAGATTTTAAATATTTCCACCCACTTCTAAACGCTTAAAATTTTTACTTTATCACATTTAGGTGTTGGATCCAATTCCCTACAACAGATTAAGAATATGTGTTCGATAGGGATCTAAATATATTTTCCTCTCTATAGATAGCCATTCTTCCTTGCATTTTTATTATTAAATGGTCTTATTTTCCTACTGATTTATAATGCCATCTCTGTTATTTATCAAGTCTCCAAATACGCATTTCCTATTTCTGAGTTCTCAGTTCTGTAGCACTGGTCCAATTTTCTGTCTTTGCACCAATACAATAACTTTATAATACATCTTAATATATGTATTCTTATTTAATTATTGTATTATTTTCTAAATAACTATAAACCCACTTTTGCCCTACCCTGTATAGTGTAGGCTATAAATTTCCCTCTAAGTACTGCATTTGCTGGCTCAGACTGACACGCTTCCTTCTTTATCACTTCCCAGTGTCAGTGTGTGGGGTTTTCTGGTTCACCATTTTACTGAACGTAGGGTCATATTCCTATGGGGCTACTTAGTTACAACCCCTACTCACACTGTCCCAAAGACAAGTTTTATCTCTGCATGATCTCTGAAATCTAAACCCCCAGACTATTCAAATCATTCCCTACTCCCCCATTCCCCCTATCCAGAGCAACTACAGAACCATTCCACGTTTATGGCTATGGTTTTTAAGTCCCTCTTTGTTTTGGGGCATTTTTGTTACTTTCTCATGAACTTCGCTATGCATGTCAAAGAACGTTGGCTATATTTTTAATTGTCTTGTAGTCAAGGACTTTTCAGGCTTGTCTACAGTATTGCTAGGAACAGAAGTTTCATTTGTCTTTTACTCTTGATTATATGATGGGCTAAAAGTTACTTAACTCTATAAACCTTCTCCTTTCTGGAATCTGTCTTTAGTGACACGCTTCAAAAGGTTTTTCCCATACCAAGATTATTTACCGATGCTTATTTCTGTGGTTTAGTTTCTTTCCATTGAATATTTAAACCATCTAAAATAACTGCAAGACACTAAAAACCTTACACACTAGCAATAAAGCTGTCCAAACAGAACAAAATATAGCTATAATCCAACTATATGACCTATTAGTAATAACTGAACCACAAGTTTCACACAGCTGCAATTCAATCACTACTTAACGAACCAGTGAAGCCAACAGAGCTCCTTATCACCTCGACTTACTGCTCAGTCCTAACCACGGGTCACATTCCATTAAAACATTCAGGCATTCACCTGAAACCCTACGTAACCACCACCTGAAGACCGATGCAAGGGGAGACACAACAGTGTCATGAGTCGCCTATAGAAACAGCTTTCCCTTCTGTTTGCATATAAAAGTAGCATTATAGCAAATGGACTCACATTTGTGAAAAAATTTGAATAGATCCTGTAGAGAGCAGTCTAGAGTCCTGGATATGGAAAATAATAAGAGAAGACAATCTTCATACCCCAAAGTGTGGGAGGCCCACCTGCCTGGTTGGGGGTGGGCACCTGTGCAGCTGGACAAGGCAGGGTTGAGTCTGCAGCAAGTGAGACATTAGATCAAATGACACCCTTCCTTTCCCCAAACTTGGTGAGGATCCCAGGAGCATCTTTTGAAAGCCAGTGGCGTCTTTGCCAGCTTTGCCCGAGGATCCCCTGGGGGAAGGGCTGACTTGCTGTTTATCTGGACAGAGCCCATAGGATTCTGTCGCTCAGAGTCAGGAGACAGTAGCTACATCTGTCACCACTATGTCACCTCTCAGGCCTCAGTTTCCCATCTCTATAGTGAAGAGGTAGGACCGACTTGATTTAATCTCAAGAGAGAAAGAAATCAGAACTAAAACCAGACATTCTGACTTCCAGGGACAGTCTCTTTAAGTAGTAACAACAATGATAACCACAGCTATCATTTATCTTTAGCACTTACTGTTTATCAAACTCTGAGCCAAGTGCATTACACATATTATTTTATTCAGTCCTCATGAGCTTCCTATGAGGCTGTTACTGTCATACTAATTTTACATTTATTAAATTCAACAAATATGTTTTGTGCCAATTACTGAGCCTAAGTGATATCCTTGAGGTCACACGTAGTTAGTAAGAGCTGAGTCAGAATTCAGGTCTGGCTCTGCTTCATTTCTTCACTGCACCCATCCATCCATCCATCCATCCATCCATCCATCCATCCATCTATCCATCTCTCTCCCTCCCATCTTCTCTCCCTCCCACAATCCATCCATCCCTTCCTCCATCCAGCAAACGCTCATGTTCACCCACAGAAGCTCTGGCTATCGGAGAGCTGCCTCACCCTGGATGCACTCCCTTCCTCCACCTACTACGGCCAGATCTCATGTTCCCACACATTTTAGGCTCAGCCCCACCTCCCTTTTGCTTCATAGCCTCTGGGCATCTTCATTTACCTTCACTGCCAATCTCTCACTCCCAACAGCATCTCTCAGTTCCTTAAAAGCAGACCCTAAAACTCGCTGCTTCCAGATGCCTTCCGCGGTGACTCCTACCATCGGAAGACCCTCTGCGCCCCGGATCCCTCCTCCCCGACCCGTGAAGGCTGTGACAACTGGCCAAGAGGCTTTCATAACAGGATGCCCCCTGGAGAGTCAGCTTCCAGTGGCCCTTACCAGGTTTCCGACCTGCAGCATCTCCTCAAATTCAGTCGTCATGTTGTAGTGCTCCAGGGCCATGAAGAGCGTGTTGACCACGATGCACATGGTGATGGTGAGGTCGGCAAATGGGTCCATGACCATGAACTTCACCTTCTGCTTGATGGACATCCACAGGGGGCAGCACTCCCAGATCAGGTAGCGCTGGGCGAAGCGGTTCCAGCATGGCGGACACTTGCGGTGAGACTCCTCCAGCTCTGGGGGGACAGCCAATGCGCTGGTTTGCTTTTGTTGAATGATTCACACATAACTTAGCTGGGGGTGGTGGTGACAGGGCTGATATGTGGCAGGGGGACAGTGAAAGGGGCAGGGAAGATGAAGGAAAGGGGGGCCTGCGTCCTGACTCCTTACCCTGGAAATATGAGAGAAGAGGGCCACGGGAACAGGAGGCTGGGATGGATTGGGGACAGGATAGATTAAGACAGATGTAGGGTCTCTTCAGACAATAGTTCCACATAGACATAGGGACAGTCAGGGGACGACAGACTGAAAAGGAGGCATTTGAGACAGGCAAGTTCAGATAGTAAGGACACTTAGAATAGAATAGATGGGTACAGATGTGGACAGGATGGCCCCAGGCAGACATAGAGATGCTCGGGAGAAGACAAGGCGAGGCTGGTAAGACCTGGGACGGGCCAGGACACTTGCAGGAATGCTTGGAAAAAACAGATGTGGTTCCCGAGAATGCCCAGGAAAGAACAAGCTGAAACAAATGAGAGGACACCTAGGACGGAGGACACAGACTGAAAAGTCTGGAGCAGCGGTAGGGATGTCCAAGGCAGGCCAAGCAGTCGGGGGATGCCCGGCTCAGGTCAGGATAACGTTGAAGGTGCCCAGACCAGAAGTGGGGAGCGTTTGGGTGACACACTGGGGGGTGCTGACCTTCCAGGGCGCTGGTGAGGACACTGACTGCGCTGAGGGCCCGCTGCCGCTCTCCTGGCCCCTCGAAGCCATCCACGCCAGGAGCCTGGGGGGTCAGCATCAGGGGCCTGCCTGGCTCCTCCGACGGAGTGGTCTGTGCACAACCAGGAGATAGGCGTCAGCTTGGGGACGAGTGTCTACTGGACCTGGGGCAGCTGCTGGACCTGTGACTGCTGCCCAGTCTCAGGCTGGGGAGGTCACAGGGAGACAGGATGGGGGTTCTGATGGGACACCAGGTGCTGGGCTTCTCTACTCCCACCTCCCTCCCAGTTAACAACCCCCACCGATCATCATTTCCTTCACTCTCTTCTCATCTCTCGGCAGTGGTGATTCTCGAGTGTGGACAGGAGCTGCATGACCAAGTTCTACCGACCAGACGCTGTGGTACACGTTAGTCCACACAAAAATGATCTGGGCGTCTTCATTGACCACATGCTCCCTTGAGTCAAAAGCATAACAAAGCTGAAAAAAATCCACCATGCTCTCAGGTGACATTAATAGAAGCATAGAGCACAATGCCTGGACACAGCTGGTGGGAACTTCTGCGGAGTCAGTGTGGCTCTGTCTACCAAGGAAATTTTAAATTGGCTCTGCAACTCCTCATCTAGTAATCTAACTTCATAAATAGTGATACATGTGCCCCCAAAATACACAGGCAGCGATGTTCACTGCAGCATCATTCCCGATACCGTAAAAACAAAACGAGTCAACAGGAAGGATTTTAAAATCAATTATGGGTACAATCCGACTCTGGACTCTGATCAGATAATAAAGAGGCAGTTCCACGTGTGCCCCCCTGGGAGCACTTCCAGGACAAACGGTTTGACAGAAAAACAAGAAAAAGACTCGGAAGATACACACTGAACTGGTAAAGTGTCATATCTGGGGAATGGGGCTGTGGGGGGAGGGTAGGAGAGGGGCACGGTCCCTTTTGCTCCATGCTCTTCTGCACCACTGGCTCTGTTTCCAACGTGCTCGCACCATTCTGTAGGTAATGGGAGCAGGCCTGCAAATGGAGACGTGTTCTGACGAAGGGAGGCGGAAGCAGCATTCTCCAGGTGTACTCAGCACCCCACAGAGCCAAGGGGGACCCGCAGAGGCTTCACATCAGCACAGCCCTGCCTAACCACAGTATGCGAGTCTGTGCTGGGGGCTGCTGAAGGCACCTGGCTGTTCAGAATGCAAGAGCAAGGTTCTATCGTTTCTATAGGTCACAGGGAAAATGGGCCTAGGCTACCAAGGGTGGCAGAGCCAGGGCCCCGGGTGGGAGCCAAATTCATCAGGGCTCAAGTTCAGATCAACCTTTGCAATTGGCGGATTGCCCGGAAATGTTGCCTAGGGAGGTAGTGAGCTCCCAGTTACTGGAAGTATTCAAGCACAGGCACCAGAGAGGGCTGAGGTGCCTGGTGTAACAACAGTAACCTAGGTCTACTGGCCAGCTTCACTCACCAGCTTGCCTTAAATTCTCCCAACCTCTCTTCTCCTCCTTTACTATCAGTGATAGTTTGAGTTACCATTTAGCAAATATTTATTCTTTCCCCTCCCACGCTGGGTCAGTAAACTTCCCTGCCCTATGGATCATACACTTGCTTTGGCCAATGGATGTTATGGGCATGATGTGAACCGGGGTCTTAAACATGCTGTGCCAACTGCCTTGCTCTTGTCCTCCAGAAATCCTCCACGAAAAGGGCTTCCCCAGGTAGCTGCCACTCCTTCGGCCTGGGCCTCAGCACAAACACAAGAGGAGCAGCCCTGAGTCTAACCCAGTGTGGAGCCAAGCCAACGTGAAGTCCGAAGCAGAAATGCCCAGCCAAGCCCAACCTATACCAGCTAAACCACTGCCAACCTGCAGAGAACTAAGGGTGAGAATAAAAACTTATTGTTAGCCACTGACTTTGGGGGACAGTTTGTTACACAGCATTACCATGACAACCGCAGACTGATACACCATGCTAGTGCAAGCTATCATCATGTCTCCTAAAACCACCACAACAGCCTCCTAACTGGCCTCTTCTCTTCCCTCTATCCTCTACACAGCAGAAAGGGAGCCCCTTAAAAATCAGATCATGATATTCCTCCGATCAACAGCTCTCCCCATTCCACTGCTCCCCATCTTAATCAGGGTAAATCCAAACTTTTGTATCACCTACAAGGCTCTGCATCGTCCAAATCCTAACTCATCAAACTCATTCCAGATCCTTTCCACAGGTTCCACCACACCTGGTCTTGCTCGGCTCTCTCACCCCTCTTCCCCCCCCCCATTGCTTTTCAGAGAGAGTGGAAGGTAGGAGAGAGAGATAGAAACACAGATGTGAGAGAGACACATTGATCGGTTGCCTTCTGCTCATGCAGGGACCAGGGCTGGGGATGGAGCTTGCAACGGAGGTATGTGCCCTTGGCGGGAATCGAGCCCGGGACCCTTGAGTCCGTGGGCTGACGCTCTAACGACTGAGCCAAACCGGCAGGGGCTCTCTCATTCCTTGAGCACGTCAAGCCTATTTCTCTTCGGAGCCTTTGCACTTGCTGTTCCCTCTGCCTAAAACACCACTCTCCCACATCTTCATGGCTGGCTCCCTAAAATCACTTGCCTGTCCACTTTAATGCTGGAAGGCCTTCCTCGATTATTCTAATAGACCCCATCTCCAACCCTCCCCCGAGCAACTTTCTATAACATGACCCTTACTGCTACCTGGAAATATTGGTCAGTCAACCATCTGTCTTTCTGACTACAATGCAAACTCCACGAGGGCAGGGCTCTTGTCTGTTCCGTTCATTGTTATTGCCCTGGAGCCGCAAACACTGCTCGGCACTCAAGGCAGCCAGCTGGCCCTGGACAGATAAACACGTGAGAATCGGGACGCTTGGGCTAGAGTTCTAGCTCTGCCCCTAACTTGCTAGGTGATCGGGGCAAGAAGGATGGCAGTCTAACCAGTGGCTGGTCAGCGTGCCACTCCCAGCCCCACCTGGCCTTCTGCATACAGCAGACGAAGTAACTCTCCTCCCTGCCCTCCCATATTGATGCAGACCCACTCTGTGCCCAACACTGTGCTTTGTTTTCTGACTAGAACTCGGCAGAGTCATCTCACTGAGTAAAAGCCAAGAAGGCATTCCCGGGGGCCTGCAGTCTGCTAATCTCTTTAACTTTTCAGTGTCTCCATCTTGGTCTACTAATTTCTTTAACTTTGCAAATGACCCCCTTGGCCAAGCTAATCTCTTTAAGGTTACAAATGGGCCCTAGAGAAGTGAGAACGGGTGAAGTCAGAATTCCCGGTAATGAAGTGCTTGAACTTGGATTCCTCCTAACACCGGCACTACAATGAGATGATTTTCTCCGTAACGAGATTAGGAAATTCTATTAGCTTCCAGGCTGCTGACCTGATTCCACAAGGCTGAGACTCTAGGGCTGGACACGAAGGGGGGTCTGCAGCCATTGGGATTTGGTGTCCTGGGAAGTCAGATACCCCACCCTACAGGCAATGGCCAGGGGCCTCGCCAGACCCACGCAGAAGCTGAGGCCTGCTCCCACTGGGCTCTCCAGGACCTTCTCCTTGACTTCCTGCTCCAGAGGAGTGGGAGAGCCCCAGGCTCCCTCTGCAATGTGCCCCAGGAGTCTTTGTTCCTTCCTGCTCGATAATTACAATAACATAATAGTAATAATTACTGGAACATAAGGCAAGTAGTACTGGTCTAAGCATCGGGCAGGTTTTAACTCAGTCCTCGCCACAACCTGCTGACGTGGATATTAGCTTTATTTCCCCTTTACAGGTGGGGAAATGGAGGCACAGAGAGCTGTATTCACCTGGGCTCGGTCCCACAGCTGGAGCAAGAATCTGAGCAAAACAGGCCGTTTGGCCGTGAGCCATCCCTCCTAGGCCTCACCTCCACCTTCCTGTTCCCCTGTCCTGTCGGGGCTTCCTCAGAAAGCCTGCAGGCATTGGGGTCCGAGCCATGTGTTTGCCCTTTGCCTGGGTGGGCTGCTCTGGGCACTGGGCGGGGGGCAGGGGGCAGCAAGAACACTCCGTGGCTGACTGGGCAGGCATCAGTCTGTCAGGGGATCGGCTGACTGAGAGATTAAACCTCTTAACTGGTTTTTCATGACCTGGCCTGTCCCTCCTCGTTAACTTTTGACAGTAACTTGAACTCCTCTCCCCTTTGTTCCCTGGGTTCCAGCCACTCTGACCTCATGGCCTTTCCTCCAGTAGGCTAGGCTCATGTCTGCCCCAGAGTCTTTGCACTTGCTGTTTCCTAGGCCTGGAACACGCTTCCCCCAGATGATGTAGTGACAGTGTGTAATTATGATGTTATCACATCAATATACTCATGCTTATCCTAATCGCTTTACCCTTATGGGCCCATTCATTCTTGCAGCAATCCTGAGATGGGTATTTTTAATCCATTTAACAGATGAGACACAAAGTAACTTTCCCGTGGCCATCCAGATGATAAGTAGGATTATAAACCAGTTTGTCTCCGGAACCTGGCTGCTGTCCACTCTTCTATACCCACCCCTCGGAGTTTCAGAGAGAGCCTGGCTCCCACCTTTGCCTCCTTCCTGTCTTTGTCTAAATGCTCCTAATGACTGGGATTCCTTCTCTCTCTTCTCTGCTCCTGTGCTCCCACACGACTTATTGGGCTAATATTGAGTTACCAGCTTTAATGTACTGAAATACTTCAAACCTGATGAATAACTGTTGCCCAAAACCTGGTTAGTGTCCTCTTGCCACTCCAGTTCTTCTCCCAGGAGCCTCTGGATTGCCCAGGACCCAACTGGTCTACCAGGCTAACACCTGGCACACACAGGTCCTCCAGAATGCTAGTCCTGTGCCACCCGGGCCTTACCAGTTGCTTAATACTTAACTATCATTCCTATTTATCAGCATAATGCACCCCCAGAACCCAGCACATACTAGGTGCTCAGTAAACACTTGGTTAGTATTTTTGGACCTGGCCCTGGTGATGAGTTGGGAGGCCAGCTCTGCCCTGGTGCTGCATCACGGGGCTGGCTCACCGTGTCTGGGGGGTGCTCCAGCATCACAGGGCGGAGGAGGTGACTCCCTGGGGAGGTGGCCTCAGGGTCACCTGCCCCCAGCAAGGAGACTACCCCATTGCAGTCTACGGTGCTGTTCCTTTTGCCATTGGGGGCATGGCTGGGAGCTGAGGTCCCAGGACTGAGCTGTGCCTGGGCACTAGGCCGGCGCAGGGCCCAGGGCACCAGTAGTGATGTGCGGTGGCTCTCGCTGTCCCCCGCTGTGCTGTTTTCATCATCGGCAAAATCCGTCTCTGAACCCGTATCTCTCCGGCGAAAGGTGAAAAGGCTGCCACGCCTGGAGTGTGGCTTCACGGAGCTCCTGCTGAGGCCGTGGGTGATGCTGAGACGGTTCTGAGGACACAGGGAGAGGGAACATGACCCAAGACAGCTCTTCAGGAGCGCCTGGCCCATCTCTTGTGGCATCAGCCCCAGCTCAACTTCTCAGAGCTTTGAGGGCTTTAGCAGACTGCAGGGGTCAGGTGGGCTGAGCCAGGGGGTGTTCAGGGAAAGGGTGCAGGGCTAGAGCAATCTTGTATCTTCTGGGGTCTTGCTCACCTGAAGCTTGTGCCTCTGGGGCTTTGAGACTGAAGCTCACCTGGGCCTGAAGGTGGGGCTAAGGCTGGGCAGGGGTAGGGGAGGCAGGAAGGCTTCTGCAGTGAAGACAAGCCCAGCCATGCCCCTCTCATATGGGCACGTGCTTGGTGTCCTACCAATTTATACTATGGGACTTAGCTGGGACTTAGCCCAATGCTGGGACTTGGCTGACATTGGGGATATCATAACCTCCAGACCTACCCGTCCCGCTGCCCAGGGCTCCTCCATTCCAAAAATGGCCACGGGTAACAGGAAGGGCTGGGAGGGGCTCGAGGATGCTCTCCTTAGGAAGTGACAGTTGGGGCTGTGACTGTACCAGGGATCTAGCATGAAGGGCTTCTGATACCAGATCTACCCTAAAAGGATCAGAGTCACGGTGGGGACTACCATTGCTCTGGGACCATCCTCTGAGTCAGACTTGGGGAGTCTGTCATCCCCATACTCCTCCGTCCCCGAAGACGTCCGTTTTCTCCTCTTGCTCCTATTCTCCTGGGTGGCTACTTGGGCCAAAGGGGACATGTCCAAGGAGCTGCGGGACATGGCGTCCACACCCCTGATGGTGAGAGCCTGGAAAAAGACGAAAGAAGGGATGTCTTGGTCATGGAGACTTCATGCAGCCTCAGGCTAAGACTGACCAGGTACCTCTGTGTCTCAGCTTTTCCCATCAGTAACTGGGCTTGCACACTTACTCCCAAAAAGGGCATCACGGAGACAGGGGCTCAGACACACCCAGAGTGCAGGATCAAAGTCCGGGGGGAGGAGTCGTGGCTGATGTGGGCAGCTCTTGGGAGAGGGGAGTGTGGGGGACAGATGGAGGGGGTGTTAATGAGCAGAGGACCTTCTAGAAGGTTTGGCTGGCCAAAACGGGTGCTGCGGACGGTGGGATGGGGCAGTGAGGAGAAGGTCCATGTCCACAGCCTGGCTTCCCACAGGCTCACTCTATGGTTATTTTCTGAACTGGCTCAGGCCTCCGACCTTAGACCTTCCTCACCGACCCCCAGAAGGCATCCCTTGACCAGGATAACTATGTCCATGGAGACATGGATCTCTTTTATCCAGCATGTGCTCACAGGAGCCACCTTTACCCAGCAGGCACCACGCTCACAGGCACCCACAGCCAGGCGAGGGCTTGGTCTGGAGGCGCCTTGGCCACAATGCTCACCCACCTCCTGCTCTTTCTTGAGCATCTCCATGGCCTCCTGGAATCGCTTTTCCTTCTCCTCTGTCTCTGCGATGGTGGCTTGGTTTTGCTCCTCGTAGGCCATGGCAACCACAGCCAGGATCAGGTTCACCAGGTAGAAGGAGCCCAGGAAGATGACAAGCATGAAGAAGATCATGTAGATCTTCCCTGCGGACCTCAGGGTCTGGGGGAGCAAGGGGGCAGAGGTCATCCTCACTGGGGCCCCTTCTGGGTCATGCTCATGGTTTTTCCAAGTGGCCACAGCCTGGGGAGGGGCAAGAGGGTGTCCCACCTATAGAGGGAAGTGTCCTACAGAAAATGACCTGCACACAGGGGTGATGTCCCACCCACAGAGGGAGGCAGACTGTCACGGTCACCAGGGGAAATGGACCTACGGAGGGGACTATTCCATCACATAGGGTGGAGGAGAGTCCCACTCACAGAGCACAGCGTCCTATATGAAGGGACAGGTACTTGGTCATCAGCAAAAAGCAGCTCTCTTTGTTTGCTGAGTCTCCATCCCTCAGATGCAAGGCTCTGTCCCCTGACCCTCCTCAGCTCTCGCCAGTGGAAAAGCTGCTGGGGCCACTCCTGGCAGATACAGCCTGAGCCCTGGTGTGGGGTCCCAAGCCTGTTCTTGGTGCCCCTGTCTGGCCCGTGCGCACACGCACCTGCTGGTAGAGGCGCTCCCAGCAGTCCTGCGTCATTAGGCGGAAAAGAGCGAGGAAGGCCCAGGCGAAGGAATCGAAGCTGGTGTAGCCGTGGTCAGGGTTCTGGCCCGCCTTTAGGCACCGGTAGCCCTCAGGACATGCCCTGCAGCCAGACACACAGGCTCCGTCTCACGCTGTGAGGGGTCCCCTGCCTTTGAGACCCGGGCTTGGCATGTCTTCCTGGGCAGTCTAGCATGTGCCTCGCTGCATCCTGAGGCTGAGCCTCGTGAACCTAGTGCCCCACCATTCGGTGCTGCCTCCATGGTTTTCACCCTGTGCCTCCTCCTGCCTGGGACACTGTCTTCCCCCTTTCTCTACCCATCTGCATTCTGCTAGGCTTCAATCCAGCCCCCTTCTGCCCACAAGACACACCATCCCCACTGCTGTCTGAGTCGCTTGCCTCTCCCCTCACAGTGGAAGTGCTAAGGGCCTGGCTCATGTCTCTTCCTCGCCTGCCTACCCCGTGGGGAGTGAGCACAGTGCAGACACTCAGGGGAGCAGTGAGGCTTGGCTGAGCTAAACAGGATGGAGCCCCGAGCAAAGGCCAGGCCATGGGGTTGAGGGATGATTCTGGGGTGGATGGGCTGCGGTCTGGTCATGTCTACAGAATGTGCCCATTTGCATGACTGTGCACCCAGGTACAATGAGGCAGGCTCACATTCACTGAGCTGGAGGGGCAGCCTCTCTCCCCGAGAGGGCACACTGCACTGGCTTCATGCGTGCTTGCCATGGATGAGAGAGAGAAGGGCAGGGGGACTTCTCTCCCCCCCTTGAGAGTGGGAGGGTCAGCCTTGCTAATGTTCTCAGACCCTGAGACAATCTCTTAGTGACACGAAGGGCTCTGAATCTTTACACTCAGAGATGTGGGACCACAGCCCCACAGATCACCTTCCCCACCAGGTTACCTGTGTGTCCCCTGCCCCTAACAACCTATAGCACAGTCACCTACCGAGACCCTGGTGCGCACATAACCACTGGGCACGCTGGGTACCACATTCAGGCTGCAGGTCCAGGACCTGGATGCCCTGGAGGGCAGTCTAGGCTGCTGGGGACGCCATACTCACTCCTGACCCGATGGACAGGTCAGCAGGGAGGGAGTGAAGGCCGAGTGGGAAGGAGCAGCCCTGGAGGGCTTCTGGAAGGGAATGGAGCCAGGGTTGAGCTACCCCCCAGTCCTGCCCCATCTTCAGGGCTCTGTTCGCCCCCCTGCAGAACTGTACCCCCATCCCTTTCTTTATTTCCTTTGCAGCTATCTCCTTTGTAGTGGGAGAGGGGTGGGGAAGCTGCCAGGGACCTGGCAGGATGGGAGGCAGGGGAAGGCCTCATTGACCCTATGGTCAAGGGTGTCACATACCCAGCGTCAGAGCTGTTCCCACACAGTAACACATCGGAGGTGCCGTTCTTGAGCAGGTAATTTTCTGGAAGAGAAACATCCGATGGTGAGGGGCATGACAGCCCAGACTCCTGGGTTCCTGCTTCACACCCAGGGCTTTGGAGAGACAGAGACACCGGTGGTAGTCTTCCCACCGCCCCTCTGCCCCTGTCCTGACCTTGCCCTCTGTCCGGCCAGGCCTGAGGCAACTCTGGCTACTTCCCTGGCCTTCCCCCTCCTCCTCCTCAGACGCTCAGCTGCCAGTGTCCCCAGTTCTCTCAGAAGACTCGGCAACTCCCCACAGGGAGTTTCTGCACTTTGCCTCATGCCACTCAAGGGGCCAACCAGAGCCAAGAGAGGCCCTGAACTAGGAGGCAGGGGTCTGGGCAGAGTTCCAGCCTGGCTGCTGAGTCTGCATGGGCCTCAGCAGGCTACTGCCCAGCTCGGTCTGGACCTAATTCTGTGAGCATAAGGTGGTGGAAGTGATGCCTGCCAGCCACGTGGCCATAGTGTGGTCTCTTCAGACAGGGCTGGGGCCGGACCAGGTGAGACACAGCACCTCTCCTCTTTGTGGCCATCCGTCAGTCCCCATCACTCACTGCTACCTGCCTGAGTCTTAGGCAGCAGTTCTCCAAGTGTGGTCCCCGAACTAGCAGCATCGAGCATCGAGAACTGGATAGAAATGTAACTTCCTGAGTGGCCCCCGCCCCCCGATCTACTGAAACTCTGGGGGCTGCCCAGCATCTGCGCTTTCCAAAGCCCTCCAGGTGACTCTGGTGCAGGTGAAATTTTGGAACCAGTGCTGTGTAGCCACAGCTGAACCATAAGCAAATGTCCTCGCTGAGTTTCTGTTTCTTTTCCAAGGTGGACTGCTGGTGTGTGAGGCCCTAACTTCATAATGGCCCTCAGCGTCCTCGTGGAATATGGCCCGCAACAGTGTCCCCCTTTGGTCTAGACCGCTGGCGCTAGCCAAGAGATGTGCTGGTCACCAGGCCGGAGAATGGAAGTGTCGCCCACGAGGCAGTGGAACAAGAGGGGCTCACATGACTATAGTCACGGAGCCTGTCCCATCCCTCTCATGGGGCTCTGGGGTGCACGGGTATGGAATTAACATCCTGAAAAGGAACCCTGAAGTCAGCTGAAAAATTGTGTGCCAAGTAGGTGGGGCCTCCATTCTGGAGCCTCATATGCTACCCCAGCTCCGTGTCCCACCCTTTCGCAAACAACACTCCTCTCTCTGCAGGCAGGATGGTCTCTTCACCACTCCCGAGGCTTGAGGGTCAGTCAGTCCCACCTCAAATGTCACAGCTGCTGCTCTCATCTGGCTCTCCATCGAACCCCATCCTTTCCGACCTTTAAACATCATCTCCCCACTTAGCCTGAGAACTCCCGAGGGCAGGCCCTAACATCTGCTCCCCTACCGTCCTGAGTCCAGAGGGTAGGGGCTGGGACCCCTGAGTGCCCAGCTGCATCTCCACAGGGTCAGGCAGGGTTTGGAAGCCCTGGAGGAAGGCCTTCCCTGTGGCAAGGCCTGCGTGGGAGGTGGCCCAGCCCTGGAGGCCTCGTTAAGCCTTGCCCGTGCCACGGGGCGAGTCCACACCTGAATCGTTGAGGTAGAGGTCCAGCGAGTCCCAGACCAGGCCATCGGCCTCCACAGAGCCGTTGGTGCCATTGAGCTCCGTGAAGTTGCGCACGCACTTGTGCCTCAGGTTACCCATGAAGAGCTGCAGGCCAATGAGGGCGAAGACACTGAGGCAGAAGACCGTGAGGACCATCACGTCGGCCAGCTTCTTCACAGACTGGATCAGGGCCCCCACAATGGTCTTCAGGCCTGGGGGAAGCGACAGCAAGCACGGGGTGACCCATGGGCACTTGGCTTCCCACTACCCTGGGCAAGGGCAGGCCTGGGGGGGGTGCTGGGCCAGGTGGGCAATCATGGAGTGAAGGAGGCCTCTCTTGGGCTTTTCAGACCGAAGTCCCCCTCTCCTTTGCTGAGGTTCTGTCCTGATTCCCCTGGGATAGGAGTTGTCTGTCTATTTGCAGAGCACCCGGTCCTCCTTGCTCTCCACTAGCCATGTATATGAACCGGGCGTGGAAAATGCTATTTGCTTAAGGAAGCAAAGACTCAAAGCCTGTCCCCCACTGGCTCTCTCCCCAAGGTATGCCAGGCCTGCCCCTTGAAATGTAGCCTATGGAAAGGAGACTGAAGTTAGGCCCATCGGAGGACAATGGAGGGGCCTCAGCCTTGATCCTGTGATGGGGAGAGACACAGCCACTACTGGCGGAGGATCCAGTTCATGTGCTGGGAGGCTGTGGGGGGAGGTCTGGCAAGGCCATGGTGGCTAATGTCCTAAGGGGCCTGTTCTGGCTCTCCCCTCAACCCCCAATCTGGGAAAGGTTCAGGGGCAGAGGAGGGGTTGACCTATATTGCATTTTCCTCCTCTGCCTTGTGCCTCTGGGACCCAACTCTGCCCAGCCCGTTCCCCAAAGCGGAGAGGCCGTGATCTGTTAGTTGCACAGCCCACCTCCCTAGAGAAGCCAGCACCACACAGCGAATTGACAGAAAAGCAGGTGCAGACACATGCGGTCTGACACGAGCTACTGCCCTGCTAGAAGTTGGAGCACAGCATGGGGGGCAAAGGGGTTTCTTTGCCAGCAGCAAGGCCCTGCCTGCCCCCCCCATCTACCCACCTCCCCCACCCCCACAATTGGCCAGATCTCAGATTAAGCTCCATCCATCCAGTGTCCAGCCGGTTAATGTGTTAGGAGCACCCGTGGAGGCTGTGCCTGAGGCTGCTGAGTCCACGACCCGGAGACAGGGAGGCAGCGGTGGGCAAGCACAGGAGAGGAAGTCCCAGCCATGGTGCCACTGACACTGCTGCCTGCCCAGGGCTCAGGGGCACTCAGCGCCCTCTGTGGAAATCGTCCTGGCAGATGTTGGCAACCATCTGGGCAGTGGGGGGACCTCGCAGGGGTCTGGGCATGGAGTGTTGGTGGGATTCACGAGCCCCTTGGAGTTCAGAACCCCTCATCTCTAGTGGAGGTTCTAGGACCCCTCAGTGGGCATACTCTGGTTCTGCCCACTGGGGCCAGAGACCCTGCCCATAGCATGGAGGGCAGCGGGGGACAAAGCGAGGGGTGGTGGGCAGCAGCTTGCACACCAAGCGGACTCTGCCTCAACTGCTAGGCCGAAGCAGTTCAAGGCCCAGCAAAGGACCTCCTGGTCTTTGGAGACAGTGTCCATGGGACAATCAGTCGGTGAGCACAGACCAACCCCTTTAATGTTTCTCATTATCGATGACAGAGTTTAATCCCAACAAGAATAATTCCAATGAAATGACGGGATTCTTTCTGAAAAGACCCAGGAACAGATGAGCGCTGGGGGACCAAATGAAAAATTCTCCTGATACTGGAGTTCTAACAGGCTGGGCAAAAAGCCCTCAGAAACTGACTGTTCATATTCCATTCCCATTTTATGGGAAAGGACACCAAGGTCTGGAGAGGGACAAGGCTCTGTAAGACTCAGCTCATGGGACACCTCCTCCAGGGAGCCTTCCAATACTGATCATATCATTTTTCTAATGATCTCTTTCAAGGTCTGTTATCTGCTGCTTCACTGGGTTGCTGGCACCTTGAAGAGACCCAAAGGGGCTGGGCTGAGGTTGACAGGCTTCCTACTTTTCCCTAGGACTGAGAAACATTTTCTTTTGTCAGTCTTTCTTACAAAATAGGTTGGAACATGCTTTCCTTAACTGCTACGGTCAGTGTGCCTTTCCTCTCTTGTGAGGTGTGTGCCGAGGTTGTCCCTGGGACCCTAGAAGACAGACCCTGAGGCTTCCAAGCAGGTATGTGCTTGTCAAGACAAAGGATCCCTGTCTCAATGGGGCAGCTCCATGGGAGTGGCTAAGAACAGACTGTCCCACTTACTACTGGCTCTTAGCAGGAATCTGGGCCACTTGTGGTGGATAAGTGGCATCTGTGCATATCCCATGGTGGGTTCAGAGGCCAGGAGAACACCTGAGGCTTGATGTGAACACAGCATAAGGGGGGCTCCTCTTATAAGATAATTAACCCCACTGGGGGGGAAGGGGGTCTGAACACCTCCAGGGAGCTCAGAGCAGGGCCCCTGCCTCCCTGGGGGCAGTAACAGCCAATGCAGGCCAAGGGGCCAGGACCCACCAGCTTTTCAAATCAGGAGCAGGTACGACTGCCTGGTTCACCGAATCCTTCCCTCAGCTCTGACCCCTCTCCAGATGGGTGGCATCAATGAGTCTCTAGCTGCCTTCTTCACAGAAGTGCCTTCCCTGGTTCTGAGAGCAGCTGCATCACAACGGGCTCTAGAAAGAGCCCCTGGGCATGGCCCTCGGCTCTCTGAAAACATCGTGAGTCTTTTGGGAGCTTTCCTGAACCGACGGGGCTGACTGCCTTTCTAGAAAGCCGTCTGGCCTTGGGAGATTTCCCGTGCGATTGCCAACATCTGTCGAGGAGGATTTCTTCCTGAGGCTACCATGCGCGGTTTGCTAAACCTCTACCGCACCATGCAGCGAGGGCTGTTAGACGCCAAGGCCGACGGCACCTGTCCGCAGAGTACGCTCTGTCTCACAAAGTGGGGCTGGGGCTCCGGCTCCGCGAAGATCACCGGAGAGGACACAGGGCAGGGGCTGGGCACTGGTTTTCCTTTTTGGTTCTGGGTGTGGATGTGATTTCTTCACTGGAGGGTGATGCTCCAGGCAGTAGCAATTCACATACAAGCTTTTAGCTACTGGAATAGCTGAGTGCAGTTTGGGAAAGAAATGCCTATCTGGGGGGAGATTGGCGTTCAATCTAGGACCTGCCACGGGGTGCTCTATGTCCCCCGGTGTCTGTGAGAGTGGGCTTTGCTGGGGTGGGCAGCCCAAAGCCCGTTCTGAGGCTCTGAGGACAAAGCAGTGCCCACTGCCAACGGCTCCCACACCCGAGCTCTGGGAAAGGTACTCTGGTGACAGGCACATTCGAGGGGCCTTCCTGAGGGTCGCCGTGACTCTCAGGTGGCTGGAAAGTCCCTCCAGCCTTGGCGTTTAACCTGATTTTCACCTGAAATGACTGATATAGTTTTCAGGGCCCGGAGGACTCGGAAGGTGCGTAAAGCTGAGACATTGCCCAGGTCCACAAATTCAGTTGTGTATCTGTAACAAGGGAAAGTCACAGACGAGACAGTGACGACACGCCAGGAGGAGACACACGGTGGGTGGGGGAAGGAGGAGACAGAGAGAGAGTCACTTGTAGCTGAGATCCGAGAGGCAAACCTGGGCATCTTACCTGGGATAACTGAAATAGTTTTTAGAGCTCTCAGGACTCTGAAAGTTCGAAGAGCCGACAAATTGCCTACTTTTATATTTTCTGATACATACCTGCAGAATCAAACCACAGTTATTGGGAGTTACAAAGCAGCACCTCAGCCTGCCCTCCCAACCAGCCCTCTCCCACAGGGAGGAATTAGATGGTCCAGGGCCTCCCCTAAATTTTTTCCGGATCTCAACCCTACTGTCATGGGGATTTCAATGAGGCACCTTAAGGATGTCCACACAGTGAGCTCCAGGTGGCTTTCTTGGTGATGGTCCCGTGAATCACCGGTGCCAGGAGGCAACTACTCTGCCACATTCTCTGTGACACTGGGGACTGTGACACAACATGTGGCAGAGTCTGAGGCTGGGGACACAGCGGAGTGAGGAGGGAAACTCTCCCAGGAGGCCCTGACCAGGTGATGGAGGAAGCCTGGGTCTGCTGGGCCTTCTGTGGTCTGGATCATCCATCCGCTTGTGCCTGGCTGCTCCAAACCAGGGGACCCTGAAGCCCTGGCTGGGACCACCCTGGAAGTGTGGCTGGGTGTCTGAGGGCGGCCACTTTCTCCTTCCAGCCATAAGTCTCTGCGTGAGGAGTGGCTCAGGAGTCCCTGAGTGCTCAAGAGGAGAAGCAGAGTTCTCAAGATGATGTCTGGAAGGTGGGAAGGGGGGCTGCCTGAACACGCTGCTCCTCCACTACGCACAGCAGTGGCCAGCGCAGGAAGAGATAAAAGCAGGACTAGGGATCCGAGGGGGACTCTAGCCCCTCCCCCGTGAGTCTGCCCCAAGGCCCTCATTGTCCCCCAAAGATGGCCCTGGGTCTCCACAGTAGGAGTGACCTCGGGAGTTGAACAGCCCTCGGGGTTCACTTGAGCCCAGTGGTGCTCAGCAGGGCCGAGTGGCCCTGGGGCTCCCACCTACAGTATGGACCTCCGTAGCCACCACAGGCATCGGGGGAAGGAGTCATCTCTGGGGGGCAGGGACCTGCCCAAGCAGAGTGTGAGGACACGTGTGGATGGGCCACATGACTAGGATGTCTGAGAGACGGAGGGACAGTGTGTGACCAGGGCCATCGGGACAATGGCAAGTGACTTGTGATATTTAACCAGAGGCTTCGCATGCAGGGTGTCTGACATTTAACCGAAGGTGTCTGATGTTTAACAAAGGACAGCGGACCTGGGACGTCTGATGTTTAACCAAGTGTGTCTGACTTGGTGTCTGAGTGATGTCAGACCCAGGATGTTGGCCCAGCGACACCGGGCGAGTGCCAAGGGTGGGCTGGCAGTGCAGCTGGACTCACTCTGCCAGGCAGTCTGGTAACCAGGCCCCCCCACTCTACTTGGAGCTTCTGCCTCTGCCTTTAGGCTGGGGGTGTCCACGGGGAAGGACTTGGCAGGCTATGTCATGGGACTCAGTGTCCTGGGGTCAGTGGGGTCCAGTCGGGTCCAGCGCTAACTGACACTAGCTGACGCCGGCTCCCTCCATGGCCACTCATGGGGCCCTTTCATCTTCATAGGATGCTGTGGACCACGTCTGCTCCTTCCTTACTCACTACAGCCCTTCAGGGATGGGAAGTCAGCACAACTTTCCTTCTGGTCACACCACAGGTTGTGTGGCTTCCATTCCACCCCCTGGACCCACTTCAGCTTACAAATCTTCCTCCAGGGCAGCAATCAGATGTGACCCCATCTTCCAGTGGGGAGCAGAAGTCACCTTTCTTGTTCTGGACCACATGTACCTACTAATTTGGTCCAAGTTCCTGCTCCACTTTGGGTGGTTATTCCATGGTTCAGACCTTTGGGCCTCTGTTCCACATTCCCCTCTCAGGCCTGGACCCTGTCCAGACATGGTGCTGCCATGGGACTGACAAGTTAAGCCCAAAACACTGCCCATGTTGCCATCACATGGAAGCCATGGCTCTTGTTGGCTGGTGGCTCTGGGCCCTGTTTCCTGCTGCCAGTCAGTCAGGTGTGGCCAGGGGAAAGCTTCCCTTGCTCGGCCACTGGTTTTTCCAGGCTGTCTCTACCGGTTACAGGGAGTGAGTGGAGCACTGTGCAGATCAGAGAGGGAACCAACTCTACTGTCCCTGCTTCGCCCCTCCTGTCCCTTATAGACCTTATGTTCCGTCTCCCATGTCTCCAGTGAAGTGGATTCTGCCTGTCTTTGCCTGTCCCAGTGTAGAACCTGCCCTCCCTGCCCCCTCAATATCCCCAGCACAGACAGGGCTTGCCCTCCATTGGTCACCTGCCCCCTCAGCAGCTGGTTCCGAGTACAGAGAAGGTGAGATCCCAAGATAGGGAGGTGTGTGCTCCCCTAGGCTTGCAAAGCCAGCTAAGTGGCCGAGGACAGGAGAGGGGCTGGAGGTTGTGTGTTTGTGAAGTCAGGACATGGTGAGAGCAATCCTGAGGAGGTAGAAGTCTGGAAGGTGAGGCACAGGTCTGAGTGAGGGCATGGTGTGTCTGTGACCATGTCTGTGATGGGGGGTGGGAGGCCTGTGGACCCAGAGCCTGGGGCCTGGCTGCTTCCCATGTTGGGGCCTTAGACTCCTAGTGAGGCCTCTCTTGGGGCCCTGGAGTGTGGCCAGGCAGGAGAGACCCATATCTGGCAAAAGGCCAGCTTTAGCTGTGGTGGGTGAGGGCTGGGGGCGGAGCTCTGCCAATTGGTTAGCCTGGCAAAATGTTCTTTCAAGCCATTCTACTTTTCTGCCACGGCCAACATGCTGGGCAAGGGCAGACGGCTGGGGTGGGGTCGTGGGCCCTGACACAGAAAGAGCAGAGGGTGTGGGTGAGAATTCCACCCCATCCCACCAGCCCCAGAGCAGAGGGAGGCTTTCTGGAGGCTGAGGAACCACGAGGAAGGGCAGACCTGGGCCTCTTCCTGCCCCACCCCTGTCTTGCTGTGCACCCTCCCCTTCAATGCAGATGGCCCCTCCTGGGCTGCTAGGCAGAGGGTACACTCAGCGTGTCAGCTACTGCGGTGACTGCCACCCTCTCCTCTCTGCCTACCCCCCTTCCCCTCCAGGTTTGGTTTCCATAACAACCCCAGAAGGTGGGAGGCTGTGTTAACCAGCAGGTAATGCCCAGCTGGGTGGGGGCCACAGGAAGAGCTCTGGCTGGAGGGCTGCAAGCTGAGCCTGGTGGGATTCCTGGCACCCCCTCCAAGCCTCCCACGACCTCTAAATCAGGTGGGGGTGGGGGATAGGGTCAAAGCCTGGCCAGAAACACCAGACTTGGGGTGCCTCTCATGGTTATAAGCTAGGAGGCATTGCTGTTGATTCATTCTATAATTCTGGGCAAGTGCAGGCTCTCTCTGAGCCTCGGTTTCTCCATCTATATAAAAGGGAGATGGGACAGGGAGTTTCATTGAATACAACTTTTCTGCCATTTAAGACTCCTTTGATTACCCTAAAGGCCCCGCATTATTGAATCATTTTGGCTGGACCGAAATTCATTTCACTGCATTACCCCAGCAGTAATTAATTGCTTTCATAAGGCAGAATCACTGTCAATCAAAGCTGCCAGGCCAATCCAGCCCAGAGCACAGAGCTGACATTCCAGAGGGTCCACGCGGCCAGAGGGGAAGTGAGTGGGGCTGTTTCTGTGGGACGCTGGCAAACGTGGAAATGGTTCGGTAGCTTCTGAGGCCCTGCTCTGCTTTGTCACTCCTGGTTCTGGTCCAGAGTGAAGGCAGGCAGGGCACACCTGCTCTGTGATCCGAGTGGAAGGAGTGGTTCCCCATGGGAGCCCGTGGGGGTGGAGACTGGGATTCTCTCCTGAGATGGGACAGGAGGACCTGCTACGGGCCTGAGGTCATGCAGAGCATCTCCCAGAGTCAAGGGTTGAAGACAGGCCAGAGCCTGGCTCCTGCCATCAGACCAGGGGCCCAGGGTCAGGGGCATGGTTTCCATGAAACTGTCCTGCTCAGGCTCCAGGGTGGGAAGGTAGGAAAGGTAGGAGAGGCTAAGGCAGCCGCTGTGACCTCCTTCCAAGCCCCCTTCCGGTGACACCGGGCCCTCAGGGGCCCAGGGATCACTCCTGCTCTCCCATAGGGCACCCTGGAGCCTGGGCCCAGCAGCCAGGCTGTTCCATTCTCAAGTCAGTGCAACCTCCCGGTTCTCACTCTCCTCAGACCTCATGTTCTCAGCTGATGACCCTGCTTCTTATCACTGAGAAAAATAGAAGCAATCAGATGAGAAATTTTTTCTCTCATCATTGACTCTATCTGTCCACCTCCACCTCCACCTGAAATTCTGCCTTCCCCACTCTTTTTTAAAAAATATATCTTTATTGATTTCAGAGAGAGGAAGGGAGAGGGAGAGTTGAAACATTAATGATGAGAGAGTCGTCATTGATCGGCTGCCTCATGCACGCCCCTGACTAGGGATTGAGCCCGCAACCCGGGCATGTGCCCTGACCGGGAATCGAACCGTGATCTCCTGGATCCTAGGTCGCTGCTCAACCCCTGAGCCATGCCCGGCCGGGCTGCCTTCCCTACTCTTAACGCCAACAGTCAACTTGGCCCTGGATTCCCAACCCCCGGCCAGCTCAAGACTTTGATCCTGGGATTCCCCCCTCCTCCATCATCAAACTCCCCCTTTCCTTTATGCTTCCCAGCCCCCTGCAAAGACACCTCCCTTCTTTAAACACCTTCCCTTCACCCACCTTCCCCTCTGGCCACCGCCTTATTTTTGATCCTGCTTATAGCAAATCCCACAAAATCGATGTCTCCACATGCTCCGCTCCCCTCCTCCCTCTCTCTCTCCAGCCCTCTATAGTCAAGTGTATGTCCCTCCACTCGGCTGAAACCTGTCAAGTCAAGGTCATCGGTGAGATTCACGTTGTTGGTCCAGTCTTGGTTCTCGCCTTCCTCAGCCACCTTGTGGTATCTTTCAAATGGAGTCACATCCCTCAGTTGGCTTTTGGGACACTGCTCTCTCCTGATTTCCCTCCACCCTCCTTGGCCGTTCCCTCCATTCTTTTCCCTTCTAATGCTGTTCGTTCCTGACCCCGAGATGTCGGAGGGTCCACGGTACAGTCCCCAGGCGGCTTCTCTTCTCTGGCTACACTCCCTCCTGGATGACCTCATCTGGTCTCCTGGCTTTAAATACCAACTGCACCCTGATGGCTTCTAAATTTACATCTCCACCTCGGACCTCTATCCTGAGCTCCAGACTGGAATATCCTGTGGCTGACTCAATAGCTCACCCTGGATGCTTTCAAACTTCATACATTCCAAACTAGCCTTTTGATTCCTCTCCTCCCTCAGCCAGCTCCTCCCTCCATTCTCCATTTCAACAAATGGTAACACCATTCACCCAGCAGCTCAAGCCAGAGACTGCCTTGGGGTCTCCCGTCAGCTCTATCTTCACAGTATATCCAGAATCTGACCATGTCACTCACCTTCTCCATGTGGACCCTGGCCCCAACCACCACCCTCTCTCTCCTGGCTACTAAAATAGCCTCCTAACTGCTCTGTTGCTTCCACCCTTCCTCTCTGGTCTCCTGTCCACATAGAAGCCAGGGCAATCTTTATAGAATGTAAATCAGATCATGTCACTCCCAGCTCTTAACCCCTAGTGGCTCCCATTATTGTGGCCCGTGAGGCCGCACAGCCTGCCCCCAGCCCCACCACTCTTCATTGTCCTCCCCCACTACTCTTTCTCTGGCTCACTCAGCTCTGCCTGGGCCTAAGTCTACACTGAGCCCCTGACCACAACTCCTGCATGGAAGGCCTGCCCTGATTAGTTGTCTCCACTGGAACACAGCACCCGATGCCTGAGACACCCAGAGTGGCACACTTCAGCCCAATCCTTCAGCAAAGGTCTCCTCCCAGGCGAGGAGGTGGGGCCTGAGCCTGTGTGGCAGCAGGCCAGGGGTCACGTTCACCTCCTGGCAGGCTCCTTAGCATTTGTTTTCTCATTTGTGTGTCCTTAGCATTAGTTTTCTCACATGTACAATGGGGATAAGGAATCCCCATCCAGCCCACCTCTCTGGCTGCTGTGAGGACCCACTGGATCGTGTCAGTGACCAGGTGCCTTAAGATGCCCCAGACGTGGAGTCTATGAATAGGGACAGCAGATGTGCCGGTGAGTGTGGTGTGAGTTCCTAGGGATGCCCGGTCAGTTCTCCAGGCTCCTTCTCTCTCTTTACTGTGGTTTCATTCTTGGTCACCTTGGGATACAGGTCACTGTTTCCAGTGGTCTGGGGATTTCAGGTTGTGATACTGGGTTCCCTTGGCAAAAAGGGCAGAGGGTGCTCAACCAGAATGTTAACGGTGTCCCTCGAGCACAGAGCTGCCGCGGAGCTCCAGACGAGGCAGTGGACCTGCTCACCAGGGCCTAAGCTACTGTGGACCCGTCTCTCCCCACCAGGATGAGCTAAGGGTCTCCATCCTGTCTTCCTCCTGCCATGGCAGGAAGGTGGGCAGTTATATGGTCCCAGGCACAGCTGCAATGAGGACCGCGGCAGGGAGGCCGAGAGGGCTGGGCAAGGGGCACTTGCCCCTCAGTGTGGCCAGGGGTGGCACAGCACAACACAGCCGGTGAGCACAATACTTACGCCATGATGATCACGCTGAAGTCCAGCCAGTTCCACGGGTCCCGAAGGAAGGTGAACGCGTGCAGGCAGAAGCCTCGGGCCAGTATCTTGACCAGAGACTCAAAGGTGTAAATGGCAGTGAAGGTGTACCTGGGAGGAAAGACGGGAGAGTTTCTCAGGGAGGCGGAGGCCTGCAGGCCGGGGTCCCCAGGTTCCCAGGTTGCATGAGTCCCATGCAGCCCTTCTCTCCAGCGGCCCGCAGACCAGGCTCTCTCAAGGCCCCAAGGCAGAGCTGGAGTTGTGGGCTGCAACTTTGTTTCAAACCTCCAGCTAACGAATCCATCTTCCCATGTGTTTATTCAGCATTGAGCGCCTGCACGTGCCCATCCGAACCTCCATCTCCTCTCTCTTGGTTGTCTTATGTAAGAAGACCCTCCATCTACTTCCTCACCCCAGCCCTGGAAGTCCATGGACACAGATATGGTGGCCACTGGGTCTGCCCCGTGGGACAGTAAGGACACCCACAGTCACGGCCCCTCACCCTTGTTTGTGGGTCCTCAGCAGCTAGTGAGGAGAGTATGGTCCATCCTCAGCTGCTTATAGGGTAGGTGGCTACAGATGTCTACCTTGACCTTGGAAAGAAGGCTGATATTCTAACATTGAAGGTGGGTGGGGGATGTTCTCTCTGCCTGGGGTGGGCTGAAGAATCCCAAATGCCTGGATGCTGAGACTGTGACCACAAGGCTGGAATGGGAGAGGGCCACACCATGTGCTTCCCGGGTCTTAGCAGCTGGATGCAGGCCCGGCACTGCTGGGTCCTGTGTGACAGGAGAGCAGCTTTGGCCTCCTGAAAACAGGAGCCAAATGCACCAAGGACTTATTGGGTCTGCTTAGCGCCTGTGGGTAAGGTACTTTCACTAGGGAAGGATCAGAAGCAGTTTTCTACAACTGTGCACATGGTTACAGGGAGGGGGACTTGGAGGCAAAAGGCAGCAGAGCATGGTGCTGATGTGGGGACAGCCCCGCGCCTCTTCCTGGCGGCTGTATCTCCTGGCTGTGTGGTATTGGCAAGTTACTTCTCCAAGGCTCTGTCTTCTTATTTGTCAAATAGGGACGTGGCTGTACCCACCCTACTGGGTTGCCGTGAGGGTTAAAGGAAATGATGTTTATTGTTATATGGCAGGGCCTGCCAGGCACTAAGTGCTCCATCAATTATTATTATTATTTCAGAGCCTTCTCCAATGTTGGCAGACCTCTTTGGGAGAAACCCCTACTTTGCCAACCTGGGAAGCTTCCTCTCCTGTGGGCATAGCTCAAAGCAAGAAGCTGGCAGGAGTGAGAGCAGCAAAAGAGGGTGGGGGCTTGGGCAAGGACCCCCCCAGTGGTTGAGTCCCTGAGCCTGGACCCAGTCCTCTTCAGGAGTGACTTCAGGGGCCATAGGAAGGGAAGGAAGGGAGGGAGGGGCCAGCTGGAGAGACCCTAAAGATACTCACTCGACATACTTGGTCCAGGGTGGAGGGTCATGCTGGGCCATGAACACGCAGTTGGTCAGGATGGTGCACATGATGAGCATGCTGAAGAGCGTGGGCCAGGGGTCAAGGAAAACCACGTGCGGGGGGCCAGCCAGGCCACCGCCGTGACAGGGTCCTGGTTTCAGAGGCGTCACCCCCAGGCCAGAGCTGCCACGTCAGAGGCAGGGCCTCCAAGAAGACACACTGGGGCTGCACCCAGTCCTTACCAACCCCTCCCCACCGAGGCTGGCCTCTGTCCCTTCCTGGCACTGCAGCTGGACACCTGCCCTGTTCCGCAGCCCCTGAGAGGGACATGACACAGGAATCTGCACCTTTCGCAGACCCCCTGCAGGGTCCATCCCAGAGGGAAGGGAGGAAGGGCGACCCTTGACCTCAGAGGTTTTTATGCATGGCTGTGTGGAAGTGCTGTGCTTAGCCACACTGAAGGGAGATGGCATTTATAAATTTCCTCAGGGACCACTGTCAGAGAGGAAGACCGTGGTGCAGGGTCTGAGTTCCCTCCCCCACTTCTATGACAGCAGCCCAGGCTGACCTTTGGCCTAGGATTTCTCTGAAGAAGTGTTCTGCTGACAAAACTTCTGTACCTTGTTGGGACACACTGACCTTGGGAGGCAGGGGGCTGCTTCCTTGGCTGCTTCTAGCCTTTGCACACGCTCTTCACTCCTGTCCTCTGTTCCACTTAATGCATGCCTTCTCCTCCTCCAAGAACCCCCCCAGCAGGAGCACCCCCAGCAGGAGCATCTTAGCACGTGGTTGCTCTCTGGCTGGCAATGCCCATTGGTCCCCAGCCGGAGGGGGAGCTCTTCAAATGCTGAGACTGTGTGTTGGGCATTTTTCTAGGCCCTTGGCGTTGAACTGAACTGCCTCAGGCCTTGTTTGACCCCTGCCTCTTTGGCTCTAAGTCCCAGCTGCTGCTTCAGGCTGGACTAAGCTCTAACTGATCCTCACAGCCTCCCTCACCTCTGCAAGACCTATAGAGAAGCAAGGGACAGACCCTGGGCCTCCTGTGGGCTGGGGCACCCCCAAGGGGCCTAGCCAGGGACAGGGATACTCTGCTGCCTTCACCAATCCCCTCCCCAGTCAGAGAGGAGAAGCTGGGCCTCCTACTCCCTGTGGCTGCCCCCAGGCTCCCCACACCGTCCCAGCCTCAGCCCCTCATTCCCACAGGCTGCCAGGGAGCTGCAGTAATTGAGCTCCAGGGGCCTGCTTTCCTCCCTACCACAGCTCCACCCCTTTCCACGGCCTGACCCAGCCTTGGCTGATGGGGAGACCAATACAGTCAGACTGGAGATCGGGCTGAACTGGGGTGCTGAGTTCTGAGAGGAGGGGCTGCCCCAGCTAGGGGGAGAGGTGCGGCCTCTCATGAAATCCAGGTGGATGCTCTCTGTACTTCCAGTCCCCTTTCTAGAGAATCTAGGAAATCAGGCAATAGCATGCCAAAACAGGCCCCCAGCGTACAAACTCTTTAGTTTCTTATCTGGGATGAGGGGGATCAGATTTTGGAACCTCCCTTCATTAAACCAGAGCTGCTCAGCTCAGAGGCCATGGCCCCAGGAAGCCTGATTCCTCCCTGGCAGAGGACGCCTCTCCGGACCCTCAGCTTCCTGTCTGCATCCCATCCGTCTGCCTGTGTGCTGGTCTCCACGTCAGGTCTACCTCCCTCTCCAGCTTTCAAGGGCAGGATCAGATACCCATCTCAGTGTCCCTTCTCTCCCTCTCCCTCCCTCTCTCTCCCTCTCCC